ACCCAGAACCTGCCTAGGGGTTGCTTGTGGTCAGTGAGATGGACACCGGTGCTACATGACATAGATATGGTCGTCCATTGACCAAAAATGTGGACATATTCATTCAGATGGCAAACATGCACAAACATGGAGTGTTTAACATGTTTTAACGCACACATGAGACAGTTTTGTTTATCCAAAAAACATGTTGGTTCAATCACAACGTATCAAAATCATGTGTCTACATTGTGCGGGTGACTTGAAAAGATGCTTCCACTCCGGACCTTGTTTTTTTTCATCCAATGAAGATGTGCCGATAGTTTTCATTCATTTTTTTGGAAGAACATGTTGTAATTTCCCCCGCTTTTGCATCCCCAACTTTTTTGATCAACTATGAACCCAACAGTGCCAGTCATGACATCAATGTATGGTGAGAGTGAGTGACCACTCTGGTTTTTCTTTCTCTTCACTTTGCTTCGGTTCCTCCCCAGAAAAGGCTGGGCCCTCGGGCCCCGCCGCCTACGAAACACTTTCGGGCTGCCATGGCGGATTTTCGCCGTGAAATTTCGGGATCTGGGGCCCCAAACTCTGGAGACATGAATGGCACCTGTAAAAATTGATTTTTCATCCGTGTTTTCAATTGTTTCTTGACCTCGTTTCGCTTGTTTTTTTGTGTGGTTCGCCAGGTTATTGATCTTACCATGTTTTCCGGAAGGACCAAAGAACAGTCTGGAATACCCGTTTGTAGACAGAACCTCTGACACTGAGAAACTGTTGTGGTAGATTAGTTTGTTTTTGTTGTAGAATGGCATGCAAAGGTGGTAGATGGCGGTAGCATATTTCAGAAAAATGTACCCACATAGTGCCACACAGCCTCATCGTTCCAAGTGCTGTTGCACTAGTGCAGTTGGCTGTGCAAGTTTATGTTTGAAAACCGTTTGCACGACTTGAGTCGGAAAAACTTTGCCACGGAAGCTATAGGAATACCAGATCCAGCTGAACAAGTCAATTTCTGACAGTTTCACAAAAAGGATGCCTAAAAAGGAAAACGCATCCGCAAGAGGAACGCAAGCATTTATTCATCTGTTCAAAGACTCGGGACGGTGAAAATCAAATGTTTTCCTTTTTTTTCTATCTCTCTCTCTCTCTCTGTCTATCTCTCTCTCTCTCTCTGATATGTCCTATCATGTCAACATCTAAGTTTACCTTTCCCGCCTTCTAGTTTGAGTGCGCGGTTCCAGGGAGTTGGAAGTTTCAGACTTTGGTTTTCTGTAAGGTATGCTTTGGGTTTTCAATATTGTCTTGTTGCTGTTTGTATGGCTTTACTTGTTTTATTCTTTGTTTTCGAGTGCTTTGAGGATGTGTAAGGCGTTGTCACAATGTCACGCGTGATCGATGTCGCACTGTTGCTGGTTTCAGGTTCAAAGCGACATCGGGGAGGGAACCACGCATCACTTTTCCACCCACACTTGTTCAAGATGGCCACTACGGGCCACTACCCATCAAAGATCCATGAACTTTTTTTTTTTCGAGAGATTATGTATCTTTCTCAGTATCGTGGAAGTTGGGTTTGGTTCACTCCCCCTCAAGTAGCAATTTCAAGCGAATGTGCTGTCAAGGTTTCAAGATTGGATGCACCCTACGAACCTTCCCTGGATCGAACATTTCATCGCAGTTTCACCATTCTACTGGACTTCCTGTTGCACAAACACATGCATATGATGGCCTTTGCTACATTCGCAGGGTGTCCCAGATGTCCAGCCAGACGTGCCGGGACAGCGGTTTATTTTTGTGTTTTCATACTCATACCACATACATCACTTTGCTTGATGCCGTGGATGGAGTTTTTTTGTCTTTTTGATCTTAATCGGCAGTCCAAAAGCAATAAACTTGGGGAATCTTGGGGATGTATTGACTTTCTTGCATTTTGTGCCGCAAGTTTCTAATCTCTCGGCACTGCTCAGCTTTAATCTCTGTTTTGCACCTGGGGCCTGCTGATCACGAGGCTGCTCGAAAGGATTTTCCTATTTTGGCAGAACTTCAGCAGTCAAACAACAATGTGAAGGCCTTGGTGTGGTTCTGGAAATTAATAGAAGCATTTTTTGCAGACCCGTTCACCGCAAGTCCCATTGTTGATGAAGAGGAAGGATTTGCAGAAAATCCAATCCAACTTGCTTCTGTGCTGCTGCTGTTTCTTCGGTCACGAAACCCAAAACATAGTGAAGCAACGATGACACGTTTTTGTGACTTTCTGTATCTTTCTGTGACTTGATATGTGGCATGACTTCATGCTCTGGACAGGCCTTACTGAAAACATTTTATGACAGCCTTCGGAAGCAAGCACTTGAATGTCAGAAGCTACAGGTTCACCTGGTGACTGGGAATTTTGATTGCCCGTGGGGCCGTGAACCAGTTGTTTTGTATGTAAGTTGTTCATCAAAACGGGAGGGTGAATTCAGCGATATTCTAGGCCTGTGTTCATGGTTTTCCCTATTTTCTATTGTTCGCATCACCTCAATGCTGCCAATGTGGCTACCCTCCATCAGTGGAAACCTCGACGGGATATATGGGGGCTGTCTGCAGGGTGCCCTGTATGATCCTGTATGTTTATCACGAAAGGTAGCCTCCTAGCGGGCTACCTTGAGTTTTACTTTGCGAAGCAAAGGGGCGGGCTGGACCCCTTATCCTTGAACGACCAGGAGAAAGGGACCCCCCCCCTCCCCCCCCTCAAAGGGAACTCTCGCCATATGCCTGGTGAGTCTCTTCACGCAGCAGCCCCTTCGCAGTGTCTCGTCATCGTCACCATCATCATCATCAACATCATCATCATCATCATCCTCCTCCTCCTCCTCATCACCATCATCATTCGACTTGAAATTCGAATTTTTCGACATCCATTTTCCAAGTACCCGACGGTGCGATGAAAGTGACAGGTTCGAGCATCCATAGGTACCGCAAAAAGAGACATTGGAGTTTGTGCTAACACTGCCCGTGTTTTTTTCCCCCGCACGATGCGTGTGTCTGACAATGTATACCTCCAAATGGCTATTTAAATGGACTAAGTGACCTTCGTTCTGTCAAAGCGGTGATTTGCTAGCGCATGACGTCCATATTGACAAGCCTAAGGCTTGGTGTCAGCAGAAAAGGGCCCGGTCGCATGTCGGCTTTCGCACTGAGTGATCCCCCGCGTCCCCTGTGACGCAACTACCTTTCGTGTCACCCCTTCTCAAGTTATACTAGAATATATGAGACATGCGGACTCTTACCCGAGTACTAGTTCTTCCCTCACCCATCGTGCTTCACCTTTTTGGAAGGAGAAACTGAAAGCGGTGCAACAGCAGCTTTCAGATGCGAGTGGGGAAGAGGACCCAACATGCAATAGCATAGCATGAAATGAGTGCCTTGCTGGAGGGCGCAGAGACATTGCATTCGAACGAACACGGTAGGATCCCCAAACAATTCTTGTCCACTTTTGGATGTTGTTTTCGGCCAGTCTCTTCAAGTCGCTTCAGTGGAAAGTCATTGGAACGTCTGCAATCTACTTCTTTGATTTTCTTTGCATCCATCACAGATCATCACAGTTTCAGAAAAGGTGGCTGTCAAATATGTCGTTTACTGCACTGCAGGATGCAATCAAGACTTTGCTGGAAGACTTTGCAGCATGTACACTTGCAAGCACGAAAGCTGAGGTGCAGAATGCAGACGCGCACAATGCATGGGTTTGTTGAATTTTGATGAATTTTGAAAGTACATGTGCAATGCATTTCGGATGATCGTAGGAGGAAAACTATGAATGTGGACATTCTGCATAAATGGACAGAACCAGCATGCGGCATACATTGACTTGGAAACGGCATCTAGAATTTCCGAGTTGATTCAGTGATTTCAGCCGGTTCATCCATTTCATATGTTTCATGTCTGCAGGAACAAATTCGAGCACTGCTTTACGACCTCGAAAACGAGGCCGAATCAACTGGATCAAAGGACTGAGGACTCCTAGGACCACTATGTAATTAGACATCAGAAAGGTACTTCGCCATCCTGGCTCCTTAATTCTCCTGGTCCAGTTGGCCCTGCTATAGATGTCACAGGTTTCCAGGCAACCAGGTGACAAGATGCCATGTCCATGGGCATCGTTCAGGTCTGTTTGAAAGATTAATTTCCCGTGAATTTCGTTCTTTTCACCCTGTTTGAGTTTGTTTCGGAGGGGTAGACTTTGTTTCTACTGCTTTGCGTTTACTTTCATAGATGGACTTCCGGGCCGTCATTTGTGGGCCAGTCGCATGTCACTGCCATGCGTGCTGACGTTGGGTTGCTGCTGCCATCTCTGTGTATGTGTGTTGATGGATTAGGTCTGGAGAGTGTTGATCGTTTGGTAGTCTGGCTCTATGCTTTCGTTGCTTTCACCAATAACTACAGACTTTGCAGACGGTCTGGGTGTCAGTTGGGGAAAAATCAGGGTGTTTCGCCAGTCGAAACTCTTTCTATCTGCAATTGGAGGAAACGGCTTGGTCCTTGTGGTGCAATGTGGTCAATCCCCCTTTTTGACCAGGTCGCATCCTTTGGGAGCTTGGCACTTGGCATGTGCGCTGTTTCCGACTATATATAATCATTTTTTTGGTAATGAAATGCTTGGTTTGTCTCGAACACACGGAGACTTCTTGCGATTTCGGACATGAGCCGCTCTGGCCACGACAAGGCCGAGACACGACAGGCAGAGCTGCCGAGAAGAGTTTGGGCCACAGGCTCAGAGTTGAGAGGTCAAAACCAACAGCCTGATGTTTTGTCGGAGGTAGACGTTGCCCAAGTCAAAATGATTACCTGTATTAAGTTATGATCATAGATTCCAGATTCAGGACTTTTTCATGAGGTTTTATGATTCTTTTAGTTTGCGAAGCGCGTTGTCCGTTCTAGAATGTAGTTTTAGAATATCATTCTTTGTAGCAATGAAATCAATAAAGCATAGTCAAGTCATATAAAGCCTGAAGTTGTTTCATTTTGTGCCCTGGCAAACAGGCATCATGAAGTTTGATTCAATTTGCAGGAACGTTTGTCACCTAGGCCGGACCGAACTACAGAATGCCGTCCTCAAGGGCGACGAAAACTGTGTTCAGCAGCTCCTGCAGAATCGCGCGTCCGTGGATGCCACTGACAGAAGCAGCCCGAATCTTTGGAGCGTACCGAGTTGCCATGTGCTCACCATGGCGGCAATGTCTGCTTGGGTCCTGGATGTTGTCTGTCTGGTGTATGCCAAGGCCGGACAGCCCTACACTTGGCCGCCAACGAGGTCTCCGGACCAAGCAACATAATGCGGATGCTACTTGAGGCTAGGGCATCGCTCATGGCCAAAGATGTAACTGGCCTGGACCCTCAGAGTTCTCTACCAACAGGGCATAGCGATACATGAAGTTTACATGAAGTATATCAAAGTACATGAATGTGGTCGATAGCATTTTCAAAGTGCTACTGTATGTGCTGTGCTGATCATGCCCAATATCAATCATGATTTGAGGTCGAGAAGGTCGTAGGGATTCATCGTTTTGACGCATCGCCTGTGAGGTTTAACGCCCATGACATTGGCTTGCCAATCAAACTGCCAAGAAGCAGTGGCAGTTCTGCAGAGTGCCGTTTCCTGAGTGGTAAAAAACGACTTCATTTTGCAAAGGGGTCTGCGTAGTTACAACATGAAACTTGATGTACGGATGAGAGGCCATGTCCTGGTCTAGGACGCTCAGTAGGTTTTCTTGGATTCAGATAACTTGCACAGTTCTGCTGGGTACATGTGTATAAGGTGATGGCAGACCAGGCAGAGAAACTCAAAGACGAGGCGGAAGGATTCAATTGTTGGGTAAGTTTTGCCTAGATTGTCTTGACCGCGCAAGATGTGGGTCGGTACATATCAATCCTCAACTTTTAAAACATAATGCCATATTTCCCGCCATGAGAGGCTTGAGATCTTGCTTTTGCATGTTCATCTCTCTTTTTCCAGAAAACATTTTCATGCGAAAAAAATGTTGACAAACTTCAAAGGGAACAACTCAATAGCCAGCTTTGGCGCCACAATGCAGCTCTTTAGTTCCAGGAGCAAGCAATTATTCAGGCGCAAAGCAACAGCCTGAAAGCAAGTTTGAGATGTGAATAAGAGGATCGACCATTTCCCCTAAGACATGTTGTGGAGCGTTCCCAGATTTTTGATTTTCATCAGGCTTCAGGATTCTCAGGTATTCGTTGATAAAACTACTTCCTACATGATAGACCAGGTGTTTAGACACGCCAACTGGTGTCCTGGGAATTTCGCAAGGCGCAAAAAAAGTTTTTTCGTGTAAGGGACACTGAACATGGATTCCATACCTACCCTGATGAAGGCGGCATTTTGGCTGTGGCAGGTACGTACTCTGACTTCTTCTTAACGTTGTTGTTCTTTTTTGTGAGTTCCCTGGTTTGGGATTGTGGGTAAGTCTTAGCAAGCTTTTCTTCTAAACTTTCTTCAACAAAGTAGCGGCACAGCTGAGGCAGTCAACGGCATTCAACAGAGTGCGGGCTTGATTTTTTTTCATGTGTCCGTCACCCTCATTTCTTGTCTCTCTTTTCTGATCCTTGGTATATGCAATTTCTTCTTCCTGTCCGGTCCCATCCTTTCCTGTCGAGCTCTTGTGGTAGGAATATTGAACTGGCCCACAAAGGTCACTTGAGATCACTTGAGCTTTCGGGGTAGAAAATCTCATTTTGTCTCAGCTTCATACTAAATGCTTGGGAAATCTTGGGAATATCTCGACACCGAACTGGAGGCCAGAGAAGAGTGGAATAAATTTGTTTTCGAGATCAAGGCAGGAAAATCTCCGCAAAGCCTTGCAGAAAGCAAGGCATTGGGTCTTCTTGTCATGCAAGAGAGCCGGCCGCACAAAACCCCAAACCAGGCACTTTGGGAAAGCAACAAGTTGAAGCAAGTCCTGGAAATCCAAGAGCAACGATTTGGCAAGGACGTGAGTTTTGAAAAATACGATGAACGACATCTTTAAATAGCATTGTTCGGGGAAAGAATTCTCGCCAGGTCAAACGCACTTTATCTGTCAGATGCGTTTCTTGACCTGTGCGTAGGAGGATAGAGACGCCCTCAGCACCAAGATCGATCTGGCGGCTGTTCTGCAGCAGCAAAAGGATTTCACCGCAGCACAGCAACAGCTGGAGGAAGTATTTGAAGGTCTTGACCGAGCTCCGTCTACCAATCTGAAGGATGAACTTTGTGGTTGGTGTGAAAAACCTGCATGTGCCAGCCCTACTTCCCAAAACTCCAAAGATTGAACCCGTAGCCGTAGCCGTTTGCTAAATGCTTTCCATTGTCGAAAACCAGAGTTTTCTTGACGCCAGGACGACCCAATTATGCACAGGGCTGTCGACCACTTTGCGAGTTTACTCGGCTGTCTTCACAACGACAAGGATCCTTGCTTGATATACAGTTTGATCATGTTTGATCATGTTTGATCAACATTTGCCTGCTAGATGTAAAATGTCAATGGCACATGCCAAGATTATAATCTTGCAAATTTTGCATCGAAAGACATTTGGTCAAGTGTCCAACCGTAAAGCCGGCTCCAGCCAAACTCTGAAATCTCAGCTTGAGGATTTGTTTGAAGATACGCGAGTTGGGATTGGGTTTAAGAGTTTAGAATCTTCTGGCGCTGGTACTCACAAAACATGTGCACAATGATACACTGTGAATAACTGTAATATATACTATGGGGGTACATGGTACGGGAGTCCCTTTGGCATCACTTTTCAAGCCCCCAGTTTTGGGCCCCCACCGGCCATGTTTTGTCACACTATCTTCCAGTTGTGCAGTTTGAGAAAATTGGCATGGAAGCTGTCCAGACGGCATGGCTTCTGCAGCTAGCACTGCTCACAGCTCGTCGCAGAAAACACGATTTGACTATATATATATATATATATCTATCTATATCTATATCTATAGCCATGTCGTCTGCCGCCGCTGGTATGGAAAGGGATGCTGCGGAAGGTGCTGCTGTAGCCCATGTGCCCGGGATGGATGACCGTATAGCTGCTTTGAAAGCTGAAAGGCAGGCCTTGAAACGCCAGCTGCAGCAAACCAGTCGAGAAGTCAAGGCCCAGGCTGGTTCAATTTCATCCTTGTGTGCCATGTTTGTGTTGGTGAAGCTGTATTGACATTCCATCGTGCCACTTGCACCTTCATCTTTCCCATCTCAGGTTTTTTTTGGTGAAGCTGCATTGCACCTGCATCGCACCACTTGTACTTTCAATCTTTTTGTTTCAGCTCTGCGCCGGGAGAAAAAACGACGCAGAGTCCTGAAATCGGCGGGCAAACTGAGCACCCAAGACCTCTCGTGGCTCCTGGCCTTCAAAATGACCCGTCAGCAGTAGCAGCTTCTTCAAAACTATATGTCTCACTGAAGCACTTGTGATTGCTGTCTCCCGAGGAGTCAGCAGCAGCTTCCTCAAAACTATATGTCTCACTGAAGCACTTGTGATTGCTGTCTCCCGAGGAGTCAGCAGCAGCTTCCTCAAAACTATATGTCTCACTGAAGCACTTGAGACTGCTGTCTCTAAAGGAGTCAGACAGGAATGTGGTGAAGTCACACGCGGCAGGTTACCTAACGACTGCTGTCTCCCAAGGCATCAAAAACACGTTTTTGCGTGCTTTGGCACCTGTTTTTGCTGTGGCCCCAAAAAACTACTAAGGATACTTCCAACCATTTTCGCAGACTTTGCATTGGCACGGCAGAGTCACAGCTCATGCACGCATGAAAAACTACTAACCCGTGAAATTGAAATCACAATGGCTTGGACGCAAAACTACTAAGGAATTCTGCCAATTGAAAAGAAATAGAAGAAAGTGTTTCCTTTTTTGTCCATTGAACAATTCCTTAGTAGTTTTGCCACCGAGCCAATACAAAGTTTGAAATTCCCCTTAGTAGTTTTCACACAGAAGCATAGTAGTTTTGCGGCAGAGCCAATATAAAGTTGTGACATCGTGCTTAGTAGTTTCACACCGAAGCATGCTAGTGTTGCAGTGGAGCCAATGCAAAGATTGACATCGCCAACGGCCAGTGAAGCATTTCATCTTGCAGCTGTGATGTGCCACCTGCCGTGACGGCACATGTGTTTCTTCCTAATTCAAAGGGCCTTTCCGGCCACATGCGGCCCCCCCCTGCACCCCCCGGAATCAAGGTTGACGAAAATGTCTTGCTGTGAAGACCTGACGCTTTGGAAGTTGGCTGCTGCAGTGATTAACACCAGGAAACAACATTGATCCTGGGGGTGCGGGGGGGGAGCCGCTGCTGTGACCCTATACGTGGGGCCTCGTGCTGTGTGTGCAAAAGGTCTGAATTTGGGGTCGCTAACGGACGCTGATTTCAGCCCTCTTCATTGAGGGCCCTCCTTGTGACAACACAAACCTGCATGATGTGGAGAGATAACCAGCAGTGTATTTTCCATAACAGTGTCATAACACAAACCCACATGATTGGACGGCTCATCATCATTGTTCGGTCTTGCCTGCTCCTCACAGGTCGCCTCTCCTCGATGTTTTTTCCTGGACGCAGCCATATGAATCAAGTCTTGCCGCGCTGACTGCATGCAACAGCAATATAGTTTTTGTTTTTTGCATGAGCCAGACATGAATTTGTATGCTTTGAAATGCCGAGGCCATGCTTTGGCCGCACTCATTAGGTCATCTTCCTTGCTTCCATTCGAATTCAGCTGTATCAGACAGCATTGGTTTGACATGACACGAATGTTTTCAATGAGTCTGCCGACAGATAGTTTTTCTGCGGTCAGTCATGCAGCCGCCCTGTGGTGTGGCCGAAGGCACATCTGATGCCAGGGTGTCAGACTTGAAGGAAGCCTTGGTGCAGAACGGCAAAGCACTGAAAGCGGCTTATCGGCAGAATGCCAAAAAACGGAAAAGGTTGCACTGTGCCGGCCTTGGAGTGGCAGCCCGCAAAATTGTGGTAGCTGTTTACATGCTGTCGAATTTTAACATGGATTTGACTCTCCGCATGGCTTGTGCTTTGACAACGATATCCTATGGCAGCAATGGGTACCCACGGCAGCTTTGATCCAAGAGATGTTGCTGACGACGCCGCTGCCAGATTTGACCGCTTTGGATGACACAGCTTCACGCAAAGCGCAAGCCTTCCTGGCCGAAGCAGCCACGGAGCAGTGGGTCTATGACTGCAATACGAATCATTGTCAAGCACCTTCTGCGATGGACACGTTTTTGAAGTGGGAGGAGGCCTTCCATGGCCAGAAGCTGGACATGGGTGTGCCAAACAAACGCATGGTCAATAAGTGGGTGCAGCGCTGGCGGGCTCGGTGGGGCGTCCGCCGGAAGGTGCTGAAGCAAGTTGTTAGCAGAGACCCCGCTGTACTGCGCGACAAGGCGCGGGCCAGCCAACTTACAACATTTTGTCTTCTTTTTTTGGGTTGGCTGGCTCCATTTTTGGGGCCGGAATGTGGCCCCAAAAATGGGTCCCCCTCATGTTTCATGCCTGTATAAGCCTACTTAATCCCGGTTGGGCGGTCCCATTTTTGGGGCCAGAATCTGGCACCAAAAATAGGCCCCCATTTTCAATCAATTTCTTCCCTCGGAATTATATTTGGGGACCCTATATATAATAAGGCTTTGTCTTTCACTTCCTGCAACGCTCGAGCAGGTCATGACATTTTGGCGGGCCATCTGCTATTGCCACAGCAGGCTCGCAGACAGGGAGCTACTTTTTATAAATCTGGATGAGACTAGCGTCGGCCACACCATGACACCGCCTATTGGATGTGTGGCAAAGCCACGGACAGCAGGTGGCAAACAGCCGCATGCACAGGTGCTGAAGCAACATGTTCGAGGTGCGTGGACTTACTTATGTCAGCGTGATTTGCAACTGCAAGCACATCCAAGGGAAGTTGCCTCATTTTTTCATTGGCACCCAGGTGAAACTCACGAAGAAGCTCTTGCGCGCCCAGCGCGCTTTGCCACAAACTCGTTTGCGTGTTTTGCGGCAAAAGTCCGCTTGGACCTCTGCTGCCAACAGTGCCCAAATTCTCAAAGAGATCGCAGAAGTGCTGAAAAGTTTTCCGTCAAAACAAGGCGTTGTACTCCTTGATTGTGCGCCGGCACACCTGCCACGGCAGGTCATGGCAATGGCACGCAAGTGCAAGCTGCAGCTTATATATATCCCAGCGCAGACAACGGATTACCTACAGCCGCTTGATCTGCAAGGCTTCTCCCCTTTTAAACAATATTTGAAAAGGAAGCACCAGGAGTTGCGCTCATATTCAGAGCACGGTTTAGTGCCTCCTCTGGCCTGGCTATGGCAGTGCATGCAAGCCCCTCACGAATTTTGGGCAGCTCGGCAATGGCAGAAAAGCTTCGATGCAGTGGGCTGCAATGGCCCAGGTCAAGTGCACAAAGCGCTTCAACACTTGATGGGTGCAGGGGTGCCTTGGCCTGGGCCTGACAGGCCGACACCCCAGCAGATGCAGTGCGTTTGGCCAGCGCGACGCCAAATGGCGCACGCGTATAAGGTTCTTTTTCTTTGATGCTGCCGCTCCGGGTGGATCCAACAGATTTGCAGACGTGGGTGGCACTATAGGACAAAGATTTTTTTTCCATAATACTATGGGGGTACATGGTACGGGAGTCCCTTTGGCATCACTTTTCAAGCCCCCAGTTTTGGGCCCCCACCGGCCATGTTTTGTCACACTATCTTCCAGTTGTGCAGTTTGAGAAAATTGGCATGGAAGCTGTCCAGACGGCATGGCTTCTGCAGCTAGCACGGCTCACAGCTCGTCGCAGAAAACACAATTTGACTATATCTATAGCCATGTCGTCTGCCGCCGCTGGTATGGAAAGGGATGCTGCGGAAGGTGCTGCTGTAGCCCATGTGCCCGGGATGGATGACCGTATAGCTGCTTTGAAAGCTGAAAGGCAGGCCTTGAAACGCCAGCTGCAGCAAACCAGTCGAGAAGTCAAGGCCCAGGCTGGTTCAATTTCATCCTTGTGTGCCATGTTTGTGTTGGTGAAGCTGTATTGACATTCCATCATGCCACTTGCACCTTCATCTTTCCCATCTCAGGTTTTTTTTGGTGAAGCTGCATTGCACCTGCATCGCACCACTTGTACTTTCAATCTTTTTGTTTCAGCTCTGCGCCGGGAGAAAAAACGACGCAGAGTCCTGAAATCGGCGGGCAAACTGAGCACCCAAGACCTCTCGTGGCTCCTGGCCTTCAAAATGACCCGTCAGCAGTAGCAGCTTCTTCAAAACTATATG